CTTTGTCCTCCAGTTACTTTTGAAGTCCTTGGAATCATAAGTTTTATTTTGTTTTGCTGTTCTAAATAAAAGTTGCCTTAGAGTAAGTCATTGTGAAGACATTTACCAATAAACTTCATACACTATGCAATGTAATATAGCATCATTGCATCTTAGCTTTCTTCTTCTCCTTAAGCCAATATTCCAGTTTACTACCCTTAAACATGTACCCAGGAAAATATGGACCAATCACCAGGGCTGAATATTTTATCAGTGAGTTTTCTTAAATAGTGGGCCAAACCTGCATGTAAGCCCCTTCATTTGCACTGAATATTCATCTGGCCCAGCAGTATTCATTTGAAAGAACAGCTGGACTATTTTTTATTTATTTATTACATTATTTACGTGGAATCTGGGATTATTTCACAGCAACTCACAGCTGCTGGCCGTGATGTGAAAGAGGAAAGGCAGCATCCAGAAGCAGCCCCAACAGCATGCAACTACTGACATCGCTGCCCAGAAAGCTCCCTGTGGCTCACAAGTTACCTGTGGGTGATGATAAACACAAGGCACAATGTGGTGGAGAAGACTAAGCCCACAGAAAATCCACCCAGATAAGCACGAAGGCCAGATGATTTGGGATCTCTCAGAAGCAAATACAAAGAGCACTGTCAGAAACACACATATAAATTTGGGTTCTGCAGAAGAAATCCCTTTTGTACTGAGGAGCTCTGGGGTTTAAGGCTGGAGCTGAAGGCAATAACCAGATGTCTCCCAGTTCCTGAGTGGCAGAAGGCAAAACGCTGCCGGTTGGTTAGTTAGGGAGATACTGTTGATGTGAGCAAACCTGGAGCATCTGTCATGGAAAAACATGCAGCAGTCCTCCTAATCCTTAGCCTGGTGGCAAGCTGCAGAAGCACACAGAAACTGTGAAAAGGTCAGTCACAAATGATTCAATAGCTTAGAAACTAGCTGAGGAGGAGGAGGTCAGTTTGAGTTTCTTGACTCAAAGGGCTGGGAAGATGCTGATGGCTGGGAAAGGTGCCTCCACCCTTTCTGGTGGGGAGTGAAAAGGTGGGCAGGAGGAACAGTCTCAGCACTCAAGCATCCCTGTACCTTTTCCTTCATCCCACAGACACACCTCTTATGTCATGCAAGTCCAAACAGAAATTCGTAATTTGTCCAAGAAAAAAAAAATAATTTTTAGAAGGGCTAACTATTAAGCACTAGATGCCAAGCAAATAAATAGGAGGAAATGCATATGCATCAGAGGAAATAATGACAGGCTGTAGCTATTGAAAACTAGTAGGAAGGGAAATATAGCTGGAACATTAACGTTGTAACAACTTGCTCTGAAAGGGTATGTGAAGGGGGGTGAGGAGGATGAAGGATGTGTTACTTGACATTGGAGATGCTCATGGGATTGCAGATGACTCAACCACAGACCTTGAATGCTTACAGATTATACCTGTAGCCCAACTAAAGATGGAGTTATTGGAACATCTCTTACAGGCCCCGAAATCCTAATACTAGAGTGAGGAGATAACTCTGCATCTGTTCTTCATGTGTGGAAAGAAAAACAGGCTAATCACACATGCACACAGCCTGGAGGATGTTTGCTGAAAACCTCATCTGACTAAAGAAAAAAAATTCCCCGGTGTCCTAAAAAGATGATGATTTCTTACAACAGAAAATTCTCAAACCCTACGTGGAATATCTCAACATTGAATCTCATTTTAATGAGTGAAGAGAGTTAATTAATCACCTAAAAGCTACATGCAACTTAAGTATCAATGATCACGAACAGGTCACACTGCCTTTGTTTTAAAATCAGTATATACACAATTGCCTGGTGTTTATAGTCTGTTTGCACAATTGCTGGCATATAGGTCTACAAAAAGAAGAGCGAGAGGCATGAAACAAAAGAGAGAATTGGTTAAAAAGAATCTACTGCACACCAAAACCGCAAGAGAGTCACACTTGTGAAGAAAACCATCCCAGAGAAGGTAAAAAGCAGAAACTTCAGAAAGACATGCAGATTTTTAAAGAACGGAGAAAGCAGAGACATTAGTGGCAAACAAATGAAGAAGCATAGGCAACCTCTAAAGAAGCAGAGGAGCCAATACAGCCCTGAGGCCTACTAACAGCGTTGAAGACAGTGAAAAGGCACTTCTGAAAGCACCCATGCAGATCAAGCCCATTGTCTGGTGCAGACAGTTGGATCAAAAATGATGACGTGGGAAAAGAAGGATATATAAAGAACAGCACTGAGTGGAGTTATCAGGACACATCGTTTGTTGGATTAAAAATGGTTCTCTGAGAGATTTCAGTACACAGTTGTTAAGCAAAAGATGTAAGCAGATAGGTCACTAGTGGCCATTTCCAAATTCCAGGGATCGTGTCTTCTTCTAATGCAATTTCATTGGTTTGTCATTTTGGGGTGGGGCAACATGAAACTTCTGCAGGAAAAAAATGCATGTAAAAAGAAAAAAAAAAAAAAGAAGACCAATATAGTGCCAAATAATGAGAATGGAGCACAGTTGAAGTCTCATCTTTTTTGCAATGCAACTAAAGGTAGTAACCCTAGCAGAGCACAGTTTGCAGGCTTAAAGCAGCAGACATGCTTTGGACACTGTGACTTACGGACTTAGAGCTGTAACAAATTGCTAAATTCATTTCTGTCTTCTGTGATCAACACAGATAGCTCCTTCAGAATAGGGACTCAAAGATAAGATACAGGAAAAAATAATCCAAGCAAGGCTTCTGTCAAAACCCTGTGCTCAGCCGTGCTAGCCACACTTCAAGAAGGAAGTGAAAATACTAGAGGGAGCTCAAAGGAAGGCCACAGAACTGACCCCTGGGCAGGACAAAACAAAACAAAGCAAATCTTACATGTGAGGCTGACAGAGTTCACCCAGCTCAGCGATAAGGTTGAGAGCTGTCATGATGACTATTTAGGGCCACATTTCAAACTTGCAGATAAGTTAAGAGCTGACAGTAGGAATTTCAACCTTCGTTTCCCAGCAAAATTTCCCAGCAATGTTAGTAAATGAACTATAGAACAGTTTACCAGGACAGATGGTCAACTCATTAGTGCCTGAAGTTTTCAAAATGAGATTACACATGTTTAAAGAAGACACGCCCAAAAAAGGGGGAAAAAAAAAATATGGCTCAATCACGCAAAATGTCAGGTCAGAGGAGTATAATGACTCCTGACTGGTCTTTGAGTCTATGAATTGGAGTACTTAACCATAAAAAATTTGAAGAATCAAATGTCTCCGAGACATGTTGTGGCAAACAGCCCTTGTAAGAGCCCCTCCAGTATTCAAAACCATCCAGATACACACAAACCCTTCCAATGCGTCAGAGCCACTGGCACCCGGCTCTAATTCAATAGCTGTTTACATTTGTTAAATAAACATACAAAAGACTAGGTGTCAACCTGGCGCCGAAGGCATGGTTTCAACATTTCACCAGTCACTCTAAAGAATCACCTGGTCGATTCTTTCCAAAGCAGAGCTCTGACATTAGGCTAGATAAATGCCAGTGACACTCACACAGAAGCGGGACATGAAATCCACTTGCCCTGTTGCTCTATGGGAAGCCCCCTTCTTAAAATGTGATATCCTATGCTATTGTGTCCATCATTCCTAACCACATGTGAGCTGGAATAAGGTATTCAAAAACTGCACCTGCTTCCATGCATATAAATGGGAAAGCAATTTTGGAATGAGAAAAGAAAAAAAATATCAAAGCAGACATTCCCTAGGTGAGCTGGGGGGGGGGAAATCACTTGTCATTCTCCAACAGTAATCAATCTTAAGTACCTGCTTTTTTATTTCCAGAGGAATGAAGGATTCTGGTGCTCTATCATCATTTTATTTACTTTAGCTCAGGAAGTGTCTGATCTGCTTTAAAAACTGTGGATCAATTCTGTATTAAAATACCATCACTCTGCCTACTCCTTCAAAGTGCTATAAAATATGCTGAAGGGAACACTGGCATGTTCCCCAGGTACCACGGCTAAAACAAAACCTGCAACAGAGAAGTCTTTTTAGAAAAAGCAGCTACCGCCTTCCCCCTCACTCCTCCCCAGGCACTGAGCAGTCCATATGACGTACCTCTTTTTCCTTTTCTGGTTTTAGTCAAGAATAATAACCAAAAATACGTCATAGAGTGCACACTAAAGTTGGTGGAGTTGACGAAACAGGAGGTAAGATGCTCTGTCTTGAAAAACAACATTTTATGTTGCAAGTTTGTCCTTGCACATGAACATAATACTTAAAGGTTGTGACTTAAATTAAGCCCAGAGCCTAGAGTCAGGTCCACTAGCACACAGGCTTCTCTTCTTCCTCACTGACGCAGAGCTAACAGCTGCATTGGAGCCTGTGTTTTTCATCAACAGTTTACTCCTCTATTTTTCTCTATATAGGAAATATTCATACACACCCCATTTCACCTGCTGTGGGTTTTTTTTAAGCACTGTGAAACATGCTATTCATACTGCAGTGCTAAAGGGTCAGATTGCCCTCACCTGGAATCTATTCAATAAATTACATCGAAAGTCAAAACACCATTTGACAAAAACAAACAAGTCAATAACAGAAAAAAAAGTACTCAAAGAAAAAACAATCTCAAGTCCAAATCATTTGAATAGTGGTTTGACTCAGGTATTGTAACAAAGCATTTCAGCAAAACCCACAAGATTTCTTTTCACAGTCCTTTTCATCCGAAGAGCTTGAAACAAAGTTCTCACCACCTCTAAAGCTTATGTCCACAAATTATATAACTGTAGACAAGCTAAGGACACAACCCTCAATTTTAGCAAGCTTTCTGGTATGTTTCAAAAATACACGCAACATGAGACTTTAGGGGCATACCGATGTTGTTACCAGCAAGCTAAAAACCAAACCAAAACCAAAAAAGCCCAAACCCCGCCACCGTTTATTGTCAAAACAGTTTCCCACAACCCACTTTTACATCAGCACATGAGCTTTTTTCTAAAGCGCAAATATACTTACGAAAGGACATTCCCAATGTAGGCATAATATGAACAGCAGTAGGGAGTAGTCCCATCACAGCAGTAAGCTTTGCAGTCATTATCACACTGAGCCAGACAATCTTCTGCTGAATAAAAATAACATTCATGCGGTCAAATGGCAGCAACAACAAAATGCTGTACAGCACAGCTTTAAAGAAAATACAATCTAACAGTTTTATACAATCACAGGACTTCACTGGAGGCGCGACCTGACCCTGTAATCCAAATGGCAGCCCGTTCCCACTCATTCTGCGTTTCAGTAGGAAGTTCAGAGTTAGGTGCTTTGTGTACGGCTCCTTCTCGTATTTAATCACTTAAAATAATAAAAGACCATTTTGAAATATCAAGACGCCACGGATCACCTTTTTCCATTCCAGCAAGGAGTCCGGAGGGAAACCTGAGGCGGGTCTGGCTGTCTCACTGAGCTGCAGGAGAGGAGAAGGAAGCTGCCTGGGAACTGGCTGCCTCTCCCAGCCCCTGCCCAGCCCTAACCCCGGGGTGTAAATCAGAGCTGCCTGGGGCTCCCTCCTCCCCTGCCAGCTGGCAGCAGCTCCCCTCGCTCTGCTCCAGCCCCAGGGCCGTGGCCAGCGTGGCACAGCAGTGCCCAGCATGGGGGCCAGCGGCACCCTCTCTGCCCCGCTGCCAAGGACTGTCCTGCTCAGCTGGGGCCACAAATGTTTCCAGCAGCAATGCTCTGCAGGACAGGACAGAGGAACAACGCAAATTGTGCAACAACAGTTAAGAGAGCTCTTTACAATTAAGAGACATGGAAGAACATGCATCGTTTTGTTGCCATGAGAAGCTATTTTAAAGGTATCGGCCTCTCATCTCTGGCTACTGCCAATGCACTGGAAAAGTACCCTCTCAAGTCCCTCTCTCCCTGAATCTCATCCCGGTCTTTCCTTCCCCAATGCCAGGACCTCAGCTGCCAGTTGGATGAACCCAAACGGGCCCCTTGGCCTACACACCATCACTACTGGTCACCTCTGGTCATGCAAACGCAGGCTGCCACAGTGGAGGCCTGTAAGCGAAGGTGACAAATTATGCTCCTGCCACTGTTGCTCCCATCCCCCAGGCAGCAGATCACGCTTAGGGGTTTCTGCTCTCCCGTTCCCATTACTGCCTTCCATCCATGCTGGCTCAGCTTTCAGCATGCTGGGATCCGGGCTACCCTGCCTCCTCTCAGTGGTGGCCACACTCCCCTTCCCGATGACCCACCTCCAGCTGCAGGTTCCCCCCAGGCTCCTTTGCGGCTAACAGCTCATCCATCCCCAAACCTTAACCTTGTTCGTTAGACGTCAGCAGGTCAGCTCTCTGATCCTGCTCGTGCTCCCTCTCTGCTTGAAGACAAGCCAGGAGCGCAGGTGAGGGCCGGAGGGGGCTGAGGGAGGAGAGCACAGCTGAGGCAGCTGCACCCTAGACCCGTGCAATTACCCCCGTCTGAGAGAAAGGCAGGTGCACAAAAAAAGGTGCAAAAAAAGCAGAAAAACTGACCCACCAGTCAGCAGACACACGAGTGGATCAGGGCAGGCAGAGGGACGGGAAATGGCCAGAAGGAGAGGAGGGGAGGCCCGTGACTGCAAAGGAGCAGCAGTGGGGCCATGACCACCACAGCCACATGCAGGACTCCCCGTGGCAAAGCTTCTTGCGCCGCTGCCCTTGCAGGACTCCCCGTGCCAAGCCGTCGGGCTTTGTGCGCCCCGACCCATTTTTGGCACCAGCCCTTGTGCCCACAACCCAACCACGGCCACTCCACCAGAAACCAGCCCAGCAGCCGCCCGTGGCTCCCGCTCGCCCACCGCACCCGGCGGCATGGCAGGGAGCCCTTGCCCTGTCCGGGGCGGGGCACGGAGCCGGGGCACCCCCCGACGTCTCTCCTGAGGGAAGGGCGCGGGTTTCACCTCCTCGCAGCCCGGGAGGGACTCACCCTGCCCCGGAGAGAGCTCTGCCAAGACACCCCGGAGAGCCCCTGCCAACGCCGGCTGCCAGGTCAACCACCGGCAAGAAGGAGAAGCCCCCGCCTCTGCCTTCAACCGCCGGGCCCCGGCCCTCGCCGCCCCCCCACCCCCGCTCGCACCCCGCTGCCTGCGGCTTCGCGCCTCCCCGCGGCCCCGCTGACCTGCCAGGAGGAGGAGGAGGAGGAAAGGGGGGAGCAGCACCCCCCATGCCGGGCGCCCCTCGGCCCGGCCACGCCGCCCCGCTGCCTCC